GGAATAAATATTTATTCATTTAACAGAATACTTCGGAATGGAGTGATCCTCCTTGTCTAGACGTAATGAATGGCCATAAAAACGAATTCAGAACTGTTTGAAAGCAGGGAACATCTGTGCCCGGCTGCAGCTTGCATATTCAGCAAAAAGTGCTCTTGACTGGGTTGGATGTAGCAAAACTAAAATCTTGATTGTTTCCTCACATTATCCACAAGCTAGAGGTGGTCTGCTTGGCAGTGGTTACTGTTGCTTTTTTTTTTTTTTTGTAATGCAGCATCTGTGTGCTTCTTTGTAATTGCATGTGCTTAGCAATGTTTCCACTCCGCTAAAAGTCTATGCATTATTCACTGATTAATGTATTATTTATTTATTATTCTGTAAGCAGGGAGCTAGGAGCTCTGCATTTACAGGGAACTGACTGATGGCTATGGCAACCCTACAACTATTTTCCTGCCTGCCGACAGTTGCCCTACAGATAAAGCAGAATCTGAACTCCCATGGATTTCCTCTAGCCTGGTTCATGTCTTCTTATTTCCACCACTTTTCCACTGGCATAGCTCCAGTCTTTTGAAAAGCTCCTCATTATTCACATTAGTGTAAAAATGAAAAACGTGTCTGAAAGACTGACAAACTCAAGCGCTGGGAGACAAAGTGAGGAAAGCTAATTCCAGCATCCAGGGCCCTTCACAGAAAGCACAGAATCAGCAACCTCCTCTTATTTAAATCAGTTTGGATTCCTTTTCTGAAGTGGCTTTGCTGTTTTTGTAAGAGAAAAGAAGTATTTCTCAGATAATCAGATCTCAAACCAATTGCAGCTGTAAAATTAAAATCAGCATCTGAAATACCACATAGAAATTAACCTGAAGGCCACATAGGTCAGCAAGCACTGAGATGCTGACACTGGCTTACTGGTGGATGCAATGCTGCTTGCAGAGAGGCCTGGAGCCAGATTCAAGTTGGAAGCCTTGGAAGGAGCTGCTGGAGAGCATGTCCTGCAGACTGCTGCAAGGCCCCTGGCGGGGAAGCATACATTCATGGCAAAGTCAAAGCCACTGATGCATTTTGGATAATTTGTTAAATGTCTCTTCTTGGTGACTGCTTGCTGTTGAAAGATTTCCACAGCGTTATCAGGGAAGTTTCATCCAGGAGACAAGCTTTCCGGTGAAACAGATCTCCTGAAAACGCCATGGCTGGAGTCATCCGGATGACTCTGCACCATGTTATCCTTTCCCAGAGGGCTGATTGCTTTTGAGCAAAGGTAAACTAGTCCCTGGTTCAGGATAGTTTGCTTGCAAAGTGTGGGTCTGCCAGGCATCATGCTTACTTGCATGTGATTGATCTCAGCTTGCAATGGTAACTGAAACTGCAAGTACAATGCTCACAACATCTTTCCAGACCTTTCTCATTAATCGTTTTTCCTCCACCACCTGTAGGTCAGATTGGAAATTGCAGTATATCGACATGGGCCTGTTTATTTTCACTAACCAGGTAGTGGATTCTGCAGAAAAATACCCTCCTTGTGGCTGGCAGTAATGCTTCCACATGGAGAGAGCCCTATATTGTACTGAAGAGATATTTTTCCTTGCTTTCAACGTTCATTTAGCAGTAACAGTGCAGAGTAATATATTGAATTTCAGGTGACTTTTTGAACAGGTGTGTACTATTATCCACCTTTCTCCTGGTGTGTGGTCAGTCTGTAGTTCTGTTACACTTTTGCTGGGCAAAGCCCAGAGTTTTTCCCTGACACATGGATTCCATTTTCCCGTACATTCCAGTCCTTAGCAGTTACATATTTTGTGTGTATTGTAGTTCACAATGCATACAGTGCAATATCCCCACCATAGACAGGTTAAAGTCCACACCACACTCCTGTAATAGTGACATTCCTGTAACTCAAGAGTATAGCAATTGTTCTTTGGTCTTGCTTCAACATGTTTGCTAATAGCCAGTGGCCTCTCATTTATTTATTTTCCTGAACAGGATCATCATTTTATTCAAATTCTAAATGTTGTGATTCTAGCTGAAGCTTCAGAAGATAAACTCCTCCCACACACTGAGGATTAGGCTGCTGTTTAGCACTTATACTCAAAGGGCCTGAGCTTTTTCGGGGGTGATTTCTGCAACTCATTGGTAACAATCCACCAAGACCCCAGACCTGACTGGTGGGAAATAAACATGTTAAAAAAGATTCCAAACTGCTATGTAATCCTTAATAGGAAGAGGATTTCCTTTCCCATAATCTGTCTTTTTCATGTAGGCATAGTCCGAAGTTCACAAGGGAGCTCTTGAGAGGGTATATACAATTAAAGCTAAATGGGAAAAATATGAATATATCCACTAATGGCTTCACTTCCAGGATGCTGGTGAATTACTTTCAATTTTATCTGATTTCTTGTTCCTACTTTCTTTGCAGTCAGCTGGTCTGATTGCAAAGCTAGTGATGTTTTTATTCAAAGCCAGGAGATCCCCAACATCCTTGTGGTTAAGTGGTTTGTAATTTGTATGGACACCCTTGCAGACAGGCCCTGAAGAGCAGCATCTTCCTTCTTTGGCAGAGTCTGTGGTTGCTGTGAAAGGCTACAGGCAGTAGGGAGTAGGCAAGAACCTGAAGAGAATTCGTGGTCTTAGATGTAATGCTCAGAATAGTCAGGTGAATATTACACAATTCCAGTCTCAGTTTGGAGTTCTTTGGGTGAGGAGAAGAAGAAAGGCCAAAAGGAAAAGAGTGTAAATATGATTCATCTCCATCCTCCAATGTTGTCTTTTTTCTCTGTGTGGTGTCATGTTTCCTCCTTTATTAAGTGGATTTCCATTTTGATTTAGCGAATTGTCAGCATCTTAGCATCAGAGATTGAATAAGGAAAAGCACAACTAAATATGCTGTGAAGCAATCTGTTGCAAAGTCCACAATTCAGAGCTATTTTAGCCACATGCAAAATTGCTGTTGATCTGCAATAATGCAACTCTGTGCTGTCATTAGATTTTCAAGATAAAAACGTCGTTTGACTGTTCATTTCTGTGGGAGAACTAAGGTTATATCAGTAGCCTGGGCTGTATGTGATCAGAACTCAAACTAATCAGAAGCCCAGCTAGCAACGGAGGTGGTTACAGCAGGTATTTCACCCTTATTTTTGTAGCTAATTATTCATACACATGTATTTTTTCAGTATGATTGAGGGACTTCCCATTCTGTAGTAGAAGTGACACAGCCTGTCTCCTTTGATGGATAATAAAAATGAAGAGTTGATAAGGCTGACACAGGTTTGTCTTCTTCTTGAGTCTGGAAACACTGGCTGGATTACTGAATGATCACACAGAACAGTAAGAACAGTGTATGTAAATTCATCAGGACTTATTGAACCAATAAAAGGCTAAAGATGACAGTTTCCTAGATCACATCATTACCAGGATGAAATGTGGTGTCACCACTATGAGACAGAAAGACCATGGAGTAATGACATGTGAATTCCCTACTGAAGAAAAAATTCAAGATGTAGCTCTTGGTGGATAAAGTGATGTGCTCTGTTTTTTGGATGGGAAAGGAGTAATCTTTCTGGATGTTCTGAAATTTGAACAAACCAGGAGCTCTGACTGCTACATCACTATGCTGGCAAAACTGAAGGGTTGAATTTCCAAAGTGAGTCCAGAGAAGAGGACAACCTTTCTCTCGTGACACATAACACCAGGCCCCACATCAGCTTTAAGATGGAGGAGTGCACTGGCAGTCTTGGCTGGACTGAGCTACCAAACTAGCTCTATAGTTTGAGTTTTTTACCTTCTCACTTCCAACTGTTCAAATCAATGACAGAAGAACTGTATGGGCACTATTCTCCAAGAAAAAAACAATGTTATAGCAGCTGTGAAACTAATGCTGGTGACTATGTTGAAAAATAGTATTTTGTAGCTGAGAATTTGCTCAGATAGCATTATTGTGCTCCTTGTATCTGTGGTAATTTCCATGGAAACAAATAGGAGACATTACTTTCACAGACGGAAAGTAATATACTACATATATTTCTTTACTTCATTTGGATTTCTGGAAGTCTGCAATCTTCTAAGAAATGCAGAGGAAGAGACACATATACTACCCATCCGATTCAAAAGTTGACTGATCATAGCATAGAACTAATCAGACCTAATATATGAATGATGTTTCTGTTGGTTATACTTAATAAATTAAGACAGCTTTTTCTTTACTGTACCAAAATATGGTTACAAAATCATGTGTTCTTCAGTGGGTTTTATAGACAGTGCAATACATGAGCTGAAAAATACTTGAATTCAAATGTAGCTTTATGTTTTCCTATGGCTGACACAGATGAAGAAGCTCAGGTCCTTTATTAAGCTTATTGTCATTTTGCAAATATATTCCTGATCCAACTATGGAGATGGCAGATTTTTTCTTATTTTAAAGCTACCACACGACCTAAGTTTTTCTGAGGCACTTAGTGCACACATACAATGAAGAACTAATGATGATGTGTAGATTTGAGGTGAGTGGGAGTTGTTTGTATTTCTGTTGCTGGATACCACTTTCTTGTAGAACCATAGTTTATTGCATAAATTCCAGCTGGCCTTTTGGATGCACAGATTATCATACCTTGCAGCAGTAAGTTCTCCACACAGACTTAGATTAGATTCTTGGGGTGATAACAGAGCCTTTCAATGCAGCTACGTTGTGACCAGATGTTTATTTTGTGCAATTACATATCATAAAAATGTGAACCCCAGATGGCTAACTGTGAAACTTTGTCTCCTGCAACCATAGTAACCTGAAATCTGTCCTTTTTTTATTGTCATTTATGTCACTTTATTAACTTGTTCCATGTTTTTTTCTTTGTAGGTTCTGCCTCTATTACAAGCACTAAAGAGAACGTAACAGAAAGCCATAGGAATCTTGAACTGAGGTAAAACAACTGTTTCCAGTATTTTGTGAGTAGTGAAGAATGATGTTCTGGCTATTATCACACCTTATGTTCATTCACTGCAGAGAACAAACCTTTATTTGAATATAGTAGAGCAAAAAATGCCCCTTTATTAATCTGATGTACACTAAATAACTTCGCATTTGTTACATGGATGATAAATATTTGGCAGATAAATTTATAAACACTTCCACGTTTTATAGATTTATACTGTACACAGTCATGCTACACAGCATGCCCTTTCACAAGTATACATACAACTTTCCTCAGTGTACTTAATAAAAACACTTGGTCAAACATTTTGGTAGTTGGCGATCTGACACAGAGGAGTATACTGGAAAGATGAGTTCACAAGTGTACCATCTGGACTTAAAAGGAAAAATTTGGAACTCCAAAAGAGAGTTTATCAATGCGCACACATGCAAACACATATGTACAATAGTGATGACTGTACCCTGCATCACAGAAGATCACACATAGCAGGAAAGAAAAAAGAAATTAAAAACCAGAGGCCAGGACCATTGCCAAGATCTTGATGTAAATTATACCTATGAAATTAAACTTGTAAATGGGAATTCAACTCCAAAATACCCCATTACCATATACACAATATCTACATGGTTTCTCAAGTAAAGAAATTGAAAATGTCAGAAATGGTTATGAATTTCTTGATGACATAGGCATACTAGCACACCTGAACTACTGTATGCTAGAAACAGCTTGAAAAATTGTATTCCCAAATGGCAATTTGGGTGAAAGGTTGGTAGGAGAAATTGGGAGGAGGAAATAGCTCACACACATACACACACACACACAAAAAAAAAGAAAAAGAAAAAGAAAAACTACACTTTTCCCTTCTGTTGTTCAGCATTAGGGGATGCTGACAAGTTTTAAAGAAAATCAATAACCTTACAATGCCAACACGTTACACCAATATAAGAGATCTTCTTTAATGCCTGACTTTTGCAGTATTATATTTTGCAGAGAAAACTGCACTCTCAAAAGAAAACATAGAGTAAAATGACACGTATGTCCCAAGTAAGGGACATAATTTTGATGTCAACATTTTAAGCATTTGAGAGCAAAATATCTATTAATGGAAAGATTTACTGGGAAATTTTATTATCACATTCTTTGAAAAATGGCTGAAATAAGTTATTTGACACATTAGACATGCACCACTGGATGCTATTAAAAGTACTGTTATTTTTGGGGGAACACTGCACTCACAGGGAAAAGCTAGGCTTTTAAAACATGAATAGTTTTATGCATGTTTATTAAAAAGGGCTAGATGAACTCATTTCTCTTACATCAACATAAACTCCCACATGCCAATATACACAATTAAGTATTTAATATGTTTGCTTTTTGAAACAGTGCCGTTTTTGTCTCACTATTAAAGCAGTTAGCTTCCCTATGGCAACTGCACATTTTTAAGTCCACTGAAAGGAATATTCATTTTCCTCTAGAGGTTTTTTAGTTCTATAGAACATGTGCATAGAAGCAGAAGGCAGAGTGAGAATTCTGAAAACTGGGAAGGAGTAATGCAGTGTATGACAGAGCTTTTGACAGAGCTCTCCCCACTCTCACAGCTCTGTGTCAATGTGTGTGCACATATGCTGCAGTTTTCAGTCTGGATTTACTCAGGTGGTAGCTGGAATTAATTTATACTGCAATGCTATTGTAGTAGATCTCTGGGGATGTTAATCATTAAATGAAAGAAACCTGGCAATGGCTCTGTTCCAGGCTGGTCAAAGATTGCTGATAAGAACAACAGTAAACAATAGAATAACCACATTACTATAACAACATCAGGCATGTATGCAGGAACAATGAAAAGCATACAGTACAGGAAGACACAGACATTTTCTCATATGTTACACAGAAGTTAACATGTTAAGATCCCCATTAAGTTTGTTAAGACTTTTATTCGAATAAGACAAAACTCAAAGCGCTTATATATCTGAGAGTTTCTCCTAGTCACTGAAACAAGACCAGTTCCTCTGTACGGTGCATTGTCTCACTGTTTGGCACAGTGTGGCTGGTGGAAGGCTACAGCTAAGTCAAACCTTACTTTTCAGATCATTTCTCCTCCAGTGGCAGAAAACTAAAGCCCAACTGAGATGCATCTTGGCATTTACGATTAATGTTGTGCATGGATAAGCAAAGGGTTTTGCACAAGGAAATGAACAGAATGGTATTTGTGCTCCAAGAATAATGCATAATGCAGAAAGTAATGCTTAGATCCTACATCAACCTGTGTTGTGTGTGTCTGTATGCATGTATCCTCACACAGACACACATGTGCCTGTATATGTATTCACCTCCAGTGGTGTAATAATTCAGTACAACTGTATTATAAAGCTGCAGGTAGGCTTTAAAGAAAACAGCTGCAAAAAATAAAAATAACTGAACTCCAAGACTTCAAATCTCCCTACTGATTCTTGGTATTCAATTTGATTCCACTATTTTTCTGCCCCATCATCTTCTGAAGTATCAGCTTTTTAATGTGTAAACCAGACCTAAACAGAATTCACAGATAACTGGAGGATGAACTAATAGAAAGAAGAGCTCTCAGAATGGACCTTATTTACATCCTGCTGCTCTGGCAGTGCAGTGAGTGGAAATACAGACAAATCTCCGTGTTCCTGCACTTAGCTAAGCTCCACTTGGAGGAAATTATGCTCTGATTTTTAATTCTTCTACAGTGATGGAGTCTACACCTGCTCTTGAGGCACTACTTCTGATTCCTGTTCTTAGAAATATGGCATAGCCCTCAGTTCCCTATATAGACAGTATAAGTCTATGTGCTGGACTTTATCTCTCTTTCCTACCATTAAGTTTTAAAAAGATCTTTGTTAGTCAGAAAGAGATGTTTACATCCAGTCATACCTCTTTACCTAAACAAGACATTACCATGCTAATACAAGCTATAACCCATGTTTCCTACTTGGTAACCTGGCAATGTAATTGCAAATTCAATCAGAAGATTAAAAATGAATCCTTGCACTCAGGGGGTTAAAGACACAAGAAGTGAGAACAGAAATGCTCCATTTCCTCCGGAGTCTTGAAAGAAAACATATGTTCAGTAACCATGCTCCAGAATCAAATAAGTTTGAAAGACTGTTTTTCCTCTGCATTTCCTGCCTTCTTGTTCATTAACCTCACTGTAAAATATTGAGTTATTTGCCTGAATTAGTAGTCTTCAGTGTTCTTTGTAAAGAAAACACAGCATGAAAAGGCAGGCTTTTGCATACAGTTTGGAGGCAAGAGAGGGATCAAGTGATGATGTGAAATTAGCACAGTCAGTACATCTGAAATTCTACTCAGGACTTGAATTAAACAGAAATCATCAACTGGTAAAACTGCCTGCAGGTCTCTTCTACTTTCACTTACTCTCATTCAGCCTGCAATTAATCTGTGTGCTGAAACCAGCCTCATGATTTCTTCTAATTCTTAACCAAGGATGCTAAATTTTTAAAAATCAATTACTGCTACCTGCATTCTTTATTTTTGTTGCCATGGTGAATATCCTGCTCCTTCCTGCTCCTTCAATATTTAAAACTACTGTAGTATCGTGAGATTATTACATAGATCTTCATGCTCATTCATGCTTTAATGCAGTGACTTAGTACATCAGAAAGAAGAAACTGCTGACTGCTTTTTTCAATTTGATCTTAAATCATCTCTGGAGATGCTGGTCTGCAATAGGTAACCATATGTTGTAGGTCTCGGAGAGATATCTAGAGAAATATGTAGTCTTGTTCCTTCAAAAAAGTGAGATTTTCAGAAGGACTTCATTTTCCATCTTAGTTTAAAATTCCAAAGCTGTGTGTCAAACTATGTTACTGAATGTTACCAAAAAGTCAGAAGCAATTGAGAGCATGAGCAGTGGGTTTTAATTCTTTAAAGTTGGTGCTCTAGTAAGAAAAACAATTCGGGATGAAAGGAATCAAATTATATGAGAAGAAAGAGCAAGAACTGACTTAGCAGCCATATGATGCTCTACTTTCCTAAGAGGATAGTGGACTAGTGTACCCATCAGGAACGAGGTCTAATGCTTTATCACTGGCTAAAATTCTAGAACACACTTTTGGAAGGTTACCAGCTAAATTCAAGCAGGAAGGAAGGCGACCGTAAGAACGTACTCCTAGCTAGTTCCATTGTTAGGAGTCTGTACTCAGCAGTCAATGAAATATATTGTAATGCTTGCTTCTAAATGACATGACTATATTCAGCCTGGTTAAAATGTACAAACACAACGAATAACATGCTTTCAAGAAAAAGGAGTCTGCTATGTTAAGCTTTTCTGTCAACTTGCCATGAGTAAAAACTAACATAAGTAAAATATATCTGGCAAAAATCAATGCATTCAGTCTATTTTGCTGGTGTTTTCACAATTAAAAACAGTGACCATTATGGTATTCTATTCTGTTTTGAAAGTATATGCACATGACCTCTTAATTATAGGTTTATCAGGATTCTACACAGACCATTACGTGACCCTTTGCATGAGATATAAATGAATGGGGTTAGAAAGAAAGCAAAATTCATACTGTCCAATATTTATTACCTGAGATCACTTTGGAAGCTGCAAAAGAGAAAAATTCACTAAAGACAAGACAAATAAGTTCAGTGTATAACCTAAATAACATTTGCATCCAGATCATTTTTTCCCATTCCAAACTGTTGATTATAAGTATGTAATCAAGTACTCGTAGTTTGAAATGGCATTAACTCATTTTGTCTTCATGGAGTAGATCTCCACTGCATTCAAGACCAAACCACTTGATTGTGCAAACAGCTGTCATGCTGGCTCACACACAGTTTCAACAATCTTGAGCCAACTGGCTCACCAGCTAGGAAGATTCCAGCTTCAGGTTTTGTTTAGTATGTTGGAAATATTTGTGGACTTTTGCATAATTTTTCTCTTTTGCTTACTTTTTCACCTTTCTTCTACATATTGTTCTCCTTTTTCATTTTCCTACTTCAGATCAATCACTCTAATCCTGGACCAAGCAAGGTCCATGTGTTGGTTACTTTCTTTGTCTTATCCCTGCTATTAATATGTTCCAAACAGGATCTCAGGCTGCTCACTTCATTAAATTCAGACTAAATTATATACTCATTATGTGGCTAAGGTTTAGGACAAGAATCAGCACTGCAAACAGCATACTTTCTAAAGTGATGAGATTTCAGTGTATTAGTGTTTAACCAGAACCTTGAAAGTTGAATGTTATTTTCCTATGGCCCATTTCCTTCACAGTTATCATATGGTACGGTCAGGATGTTCTTCAGTGTTACATACAGTTGGACAGAATTTGAAGAGTTCAGTGCAGAATAAAACAATGTAATTTTTTATCACTGCTGTTGAGGTTCATTCCAGACATGTACAAAGGCTTCAGATTTCAAATAAGATGTAGAGTAAATACAAGGAAGTGGGCACATGTAACTAATGAATGGCACAGAGAAATACAGCCAAAAGCAAATATAATTCTTATGAGGAAGGATAGACTTGAAGTGCTGTAAGGATTCCGTCTAGTGGACAAAAGCCACAGATGCTAATCTAAGGCCAGACTTTTATTCTTACCTTTATGAAACACAATTCTTCCTTTTTTGAAATATGTTTAGAAATTTAAAAGACATGTTAAAATAAGATTTAATTATAAAATATTTTATCTTGGGCATTTGGACTGTTTATATTGTGAAATAAACTTACTAAAATTCTTGATATACAGTATTTTAATTATCAACATAAAAAAAAATGGCCACTAGTTTTCAGTTGCTTTTTTAATTTAGTCACTTTAGTCATTTGTTAACAGCGGAAACCCCATCTTGGGTTCATCTTATGGTGTTACAACACAGAGGAATTTATTCAAAACTGAAACTTCCATATTCTGTAAATCAAGCAGTAAACTTTAAACGTGATAGATGGTCTTGGACGTTTTTACCATCTTCTACTTACTTTTTCAAAATAACTAAGATGACAATTGACAAAATGCAGGGATAAATACTACTACTTCCTGCATAGGAGGAAGAAAAAATCATGAAAAATCTAGTTTACTATACAGACCTTATCTGAAAGCCTAATTTCTTTGGCAGTGATTCAGTCACCTAATGAAAGTAGTGAGACATAATTAGAAAAAGCACTGATAAATTTTCCCTTATGATTTACATGAAAGTTATTCTATGGAAATTAAAAATACAGCTAGGTCATAGCTTCACTGAAAGTAAAGCCAGTTTCTGTCATCAGGGGAATGTGCTCCCTTTGTCCACTGTATCTACATTTAATTTGAATGCTAACATTTTAAAGAGATCTGATAGCGTTTTACAGGGCAGCAGAACTGGTGGGGATGGTTTTATTGCAGTCTGAAACAATTCATAGCATATGGCTTATGAGGAACTTTTTTGTTAGCATTTATTTGCCATACTTACATTTTGTCTTATGACCAATCCCTGCAGACTTGACACTGTTTTTTTCTTAACGGCATTTCAGGGAGATATTATCATTATACACTGATGTATCTCTAGGATATTAAAAATCATGAGTATATGGTTATATGAAGGAGGGTATAAGCTATGAAATTAATTCAGGTGTTTTTATTATTGCTTTTCTTTGTTTTAATATTTTACAAAAATGTTTTGAGAGATTTTAATCAGATTACCCTGAAGTTATGACCTGACTAAATTTAGTAGGTGGTATTCTCTGACAAAGAAACTTGTATTTGAAGTGTAAATTCCAAAGAAAAATGTAAATACCAAATAAGTTTTTCTGACAGTATCTTGCTCTTTTTCCAATTCATTGGTTTGATTTTTCTTTGATTCATACTTGCACGGTTTGGTGCAACATTTGCATGGTTTGATGCATACTTGCATGGTTGGACTAGATGATCCTGTAGGTCCTTGTGATTCAACCTTGTGATTCTATGATTCTACGATTCAATAGCGTAAATAATGTTTTTTGCATTGAGTCACCTCACTCAATCAGATGCATTCTCTGTTTTAAAATGGAAAAAATACTGCAGATGCCACAAATTAGAAGAAAACTTTTTTTTCTTTCTTTTTATTTTTATTTATTTATTTATTTATTTTTTTCTGGAGGACTAGCAGAGAAGAGTGAAAGTGCTTATTTTATTAATCTCATTATCCTAAGTCACGTTAGGCCTTTCATCTCCCCACAACAGCTGCTGCCTTCTTCTCAACAAATATGGGGTATAGATGGTAAGCTTTGCTTTAGATTGAATCGACATAAAGCTGTTTGCCAATGAAGAGCCACTGACGCTTTTGTCCAAGCCTCCGGCTTAAAATGTAGAAATTTTTATTAATAAACTTGGCTATTGAAGGTCAGCATTTTCAGTACCAATGTACTCTGCACAGATTCCTGATTGCTGCTGCATGCATTGATACACATATCATTCTCAAGTAATTGATTTGCATGGCTTCACTGCTACAAGAGCTCATAGGGCCATGGCCAAATTTAGCATGTGTTTTTAAGAAATATGACTGTTTGCATTTTAAATATCAAATTATCAATATGTTTCTTATCTTCCTGGACATTTCATTGGAAGTTTTTGGAGGTAGCCTTGCTGTTTGAAGTGAAATAGTTCTAAATAGCAAAATATGCAAGCAATTGAATGAGAAATCTAAAATTTTCAGAATTGTCTTTAGATTTCTGCTACTCCACACACCTGTGTTTGGTTTCTGCCATCCGAATACTCAACCAAGCACTAATAATCTGAAGCCTTTGCACCACCAAACAGGAGACCTGACATTTGTACAAAGAAAAAAGAAACAGAAAATGGCTTCTCCCTGTTACATTAACACCTGGGTTCTTGTGTCAGGAAGTCGAAGTCCTACCAGACCTCCACATACTAGAACAGTAGAAGCAAGGAGAATAGGGATTGCTTTGGTGATACCAACAAGGGAACCAAATATCAAGTTTCCAAGTACAGCTGCTGCTTTGCATAGTGCATTCAAAAAGCCAAAGCCGGTTGCCCTAAAAGAAAACAAACACACAAACAAACAAACAAACAAAAACAGGATAAATTTACACGTGCATACAAGATTAAAAGCCTTTAAAATAAATCTTGAGTGGAATAAATCAGTGTAGGCCCAATACCTTACACAGAAGTAATGCCAACAAGTATTCTGTACCTGGTCTTTTTTTATGTGAAATTCTGTTTCTACTGTGGCAGCATTTTATGGAGACAAATTTATTTTGCCCTCCAGAAATCACAATGGGGAAATAATGACTTTGTACTTTTACACAACAGCAAAACCTGCAGCTGAATAGAAATGGATTTCCTATATGCAGTATGCACATTCACTGAGTACTTTTGCAAAAGGCCACTGAGACCTGTAATAATAATGATTGGCTCTCTCTTAGGAGCAAGAAGCATGAGGCTTTAAAAAAGCCTTGTTTGGGACAGAAGACCCAGAAAATCTTATGAAAAAAGGAGTATGGTATGAGAAACTCAGCAGGGCTTTTGCTTTGTAGAGCAAAATATTTGGTTGCCAACCTGTAAATGCATTATGCAAACTGCTATCATTTTAATAAAATGTGTTATGACATGACCGTATGATTCATAATTGCAAGAATAATCTTGTCCTAACAAAAATGTTCTAACAATATCATTGGTAGAATGGTAAGAGTCTCTAACATTTCTCAAATCTCAAGAAGTGAAAGGGAGAAGGAATACAAGGAGCTCACACTGTGCTCACTGGGACAAAATAATAGCACTTAGGAGGATAGAAGCTTTTTTTTAGAAAACCACATCTCTACATTGTTAATATTAAGCTATTTTTATTAGAAGGAAAAATGCCTCCAGTCTAAGCAGAAAATATTAACATAAATACTAATGGATTGAGTGACTAAACGGTTACCTAGTTATTATACTGAGACTCTATGTAAAGAAATGGAAATCTTCTACTCATACACAGTCTGTACTCCTAGGAAGTATGTATGACAAATGTCTGCTACTGCAGGGCAGTGCAACCAAGCAAGATCTCTCTGAGAGCACGCTATTTTTTAAGTCTTGCTTCAGAATCTTCCTGCAAGGGACATGTTTGCAGCAATTTCTTCAAAATGCTCTCCTCAGAAGAGGAATGATTAAGACTTTTGGAGAAATAGTTCAAAGGAGCACTGGGAGATGTGCTAATGGAAGTAGTGAAGAACCACACTTCTGGAGTAAGTATACTTTCAAAGCCTGTTATCAAGTGTCAGTTACAGACAAGTTGGTACCATCAGGCCACACAAAGCTCAGTATCAGAAGAATACCTGGAAGAAATGGTCCAGAAAGGGAAGAAGCTCCTAATAGGTAAGGATCTCCCAACTGATACATCTTCTAGGGTGACAGAGAGTGGAGATAGGAAGGAGAAACAAGCAGAGGAAAGGATGTGGCAAATAAGACTTCATAGAATCATAGAATGGACTGTGTTAGAAGGGACCTCAAAGATCAAGTTCCAACCAAGACTTTATCACAAACAGAGAGGAAAAGGTTAAAAACAAAAGAGATAGAGAGAATAGAGAGATTTTAGTATTAATATTAAAGAAAAATATGAAAGTTCTGTAAAAACATCAGGTCTGGTAGAAAGTTAAGTGTCAGAGAAAAAGAATTTTACCAAATGTATTTTACGTCAGGTGGTGGGAAATCTGTGACAAAGAAAAACAGTGAGCTTCCTTTCACCCCAGCCCGACATAACAAGCGGCAAGAATCCAAAGTTAAAAATAGAAGGATTATCCAAGCCTTCAGATTAAAAGAGATTGCTTCCTAGTTGCCATGTATGCTCCTTCTTAGACAAGGTGCTTGTTTATCGAAATAAAATAGTTTAAAATCACTTTTCCATTGCTTATGGAGCACCCCAAAACTTAATTTTCCTGTAATAGAGTGCTACTAAATATACATAACATGGACATTTGATATCCTTCTTGCCAGAGCTGGTGCTCAACCTACCAATTGCTTTACAATAGACTCAGCATAGCATTTTTGTGGGGGTTGATAATACACAAATATTACGAAAACAAGAGTTTCTGAATGTGCTATTGACGATTTTCTACAGATAAAACATTTTTGGATTTTTTAAAAGTCAGTACACAAATGCATATCATTGGCTTACCAATTACAGCATTTAGTGTGCAAATAAAACAAGTTAATGTACCTTCTTCCCTTACAATTGCCTAAGAAGCGGCATTGGTGCTGTATTTCTTACCTTAAAAACACCACCTTTCAATTTCAGCAAAGTGCAGTTGAACCACATCCACAGGATGGCAGTAGAAAATAGCTGCCAAGGAATCTACAGTAGATTAATGACTGCTGTTTTGACTCGAATAGAAAACTTCTCTTCTGACAACGAGAACAATAAAAAGTTGGACTTAAGGCATTTGGAGAATAGGGTTTATTTCTCTTGGGATGGATTCTCAGGGCTTCAGAAGAGAAGAAAAAGCTAAATATAATGAACTGAAGATAGGTGACTTAATTCTTAATCATGACCGAACTCTTATGAACTTCTTTCAGAGATATTAAAACAGGCAAAACAGGATGAAATCATTTTATAGCACATCTTGAATTCTAAATATTCCTGGCCACGATTCAAACCCAGATGTCTGGCAGCCTTAGCAAACCTATGAATCGTTGGCTATCTGATGCAATCTGACCTTGATTTACTTTGTGGGAGATACAAGATTTCAATTTATTTATTGTGTACATTCCTGGACCAGAGCCTTGGCTTATAAAGTTACTGCTTCCCAAATTCACAAGAAAACATTAAACATTCATATGAATAATGATTGCATTTTAAAGTGATAATAATCTCCTACATGTTGCTTTTTCATAAAATTTTAACTCCCTTCTAGTCATATTTGCATTACGGGCAGAGCTAGGAAATTATGCAATGTTACTTCAAGCCCCTTGGGCGCACACGTTACAGCACAATCCATAATTACCTCATCATTTTTTTTCCACATCACTCTGCCAATGCACAGAACAAAGACAGCTTGAGGGATAAAACATGAATCATGTAGTGAAGGACACTTGATTTTCCTCACATGTTACCGAAGATGGAAGGGGCACTGCTGGGTTGGGTCTGTATGATGAACAAGCAGTCTCAAGGATAAGGTAGCTGAGCGCTCTCAGGAGAAAGTACACAATCCCTATTTCTGCCACAGAATTCTATATGATGCTAACAAATCATTTAAGCTAACTAAATAGTCATTAATGTGCAGTTCAGATTTTCTGGCTGCTCAGCTTAGCACCTTCAAGTTTGTCTCGTCTAAGTGCTGAATACTTCCAGCTATAGTGAAAGTTATACTCTGAGCACATTCCCTCTTCTGAAATGCTAAGTGACAGTAATAACAGGTCCCACAAGCGACAAATCTGGCATCTGAAGTCAGTTTTGGCAGCATTATCTTTCTCCTCAGTGCCATAATTTCTGCATCCTCTCTTTTCAAAGTAGCTCTCTGAAAATACAGAACGCTTACAACAGAGTAGAAAATCACTCCATTGTCAAAGAGAAGAAACTCACTCGACACAAAACTGTTCACAAGAGGTTTAATAATTCTACTTTAGAGAAGGACTTTTAGACCTATGGAACAATATGGTTTGGCTCTCAAGAGGGTTACAACAGACCAAAGACTTCAGAATCTGTTGACGGTGAATCCAGAAAAGCACAGGCCATTAAGAAGAGAAGACAAAAGATGAGATAAAAGATGAGACAACCTACGAAATAATAGATAATACTGCAACTTCACTAATTTTCTTGCTTACTAGAAATTGGCTTATTTATGGCTTCTTGTTGCTGTTGTGCTTTAAAATCTGTGCATTGAAAAGTACCTATCACATTAAATAATGTCATATATTAATCTTTAAACACTACCAAGTGTTTTTTAACTGGAAAAGTGAAACCTACCTATGACTAATATTTGTAATATATCTTCTACCTTCTAACACAACTTTTTTATCTGTCTGAAAAACACTTGACATGTTTACAATCTTGAAGTCTCTTATTTTAGCCATTGTGAAAATTAACTCAGAGTCCATAAAGAACATACGAGCTAAACTTATGTTACAGTGTCATAAAATATAAAATAATAGAAACATCCAACTTGTAAAAGACCTTCAAGATCATTAGGTCCAACCTCAGCCAGACATACCAATCCCACCACTAAACCATGTCCCTTGAGCGTCATGTTGCACGTCTCTTAAATACTTCCAGGGATGGGAACTCTACCACTTTTCTGGGCAGCCTGTTACAGTGCTTATCTGTAAAGAAATTCTTCCTAAAGTCCAATCTAAACCTTCCCTGGCACAACTTCAGGTTGTTTCCTTGCATCCTATCACTTGTCACTGGAGAAAAGAGGCCTACACCCACCTTTTTGCAACCTCCTCTTGGATAGTCATTGTGAGCAACATCTCCCCACAGAAACCTCTTCTTCAGACTTAACAGTCATAATCCCCTCAGCCACTCCTCACAAGTCTTGTTTTCTACCCTTCTTCAACTACACACTTACCAAAAACTTAGAAGAAACAACTGAATTGCTTCAAATCCAGACATTATATTTAAAATAAATATAGATACAGGTGATTTTGAATGCATATGGAATTCAAATCTCTTAAGATTTTGAAACAACCTTTGAACTGCATTGTGGGCAAGTTATGAAGAGGAAACAAAAGCATGTTCTGTGTGTCACAAAAACCATTTCCAAATTGTTCACCAAATCCCTATCTGTTAGAAAGCCAGTACAGTCTCTTGTAAATTATTTGGAGTATGATCTCAGAAACACCTTTTGTAATGGCCTGCATTACACTGGCAAAGCCCCAGTAGCTTGGCAGCTCGCTGATTTCCAAAGAGAGTTGTGTATGAGGAAAAGCAGGGGTTGCTCAGTTTGGTCTCCTGCGCATGTTAACATGAACTGACCTCCTTTTACACACTTTTCTTCTAGACCATCTTGCAGCTTCAGCTGCTTTGTGATCATTTCATTGGTTGAGAGTAAAGCAAAAGTATGTACTGGAATAGTAAAACAGCAATGCAGTGAGCACCTTTGCCTCAATTTGAAAAGTCATGGGTAGGAAACAGACTTCTGGAATTGCTCATTTCCTTGTAATTCCACTAGGTAAAAAATGGTTGTGATTGAACCAGAAAACCCATCTTCAGTTTGTGTCAGCAATGATTTTCTTGGATCATGTAGATTTGGCCTGCTTGCCCTGATAATATAAAGTGATAAGCTTTCTATCTAATCTGTTCCAAAAAATATCCCAACAATTCAGCTACCAGCGTACTTTTGAATCAGGGTTCCATGCAATTATTATTACACATGTAAGATTATTAAAAAAGAAAAACATGGAAAAAATTACTACAATCCAATATCTTGCAGAAACTGTTAAAAACAATCACTGGCTACTAATACAAGTACCCTAGAATAAATACCAGTAACATAGTTCTAATCATGACTAGCAATGATGAATTATTTTTCTTCCATTAACATACCGATGGGTTTTCCAATTATTTTTCTTTATTTCATTTTAAGAAAATGCTTGTGTCTGCTATGTTTAGGAATGCCAACAAAATAACTTATAATTATATCCTTATAAAGGATATTCATTAGAATTGTACCTTAGTATTTGACTGATTAAAAAGCTCTTGCAGAAGGAGATTCCCTGAGGTAATAAAGCTAGTCATGTTTACAATTAAATCTTAGTGTTTTGGATTCGTGAGTAGCCTAGTGTAGTTGTTTTGATATAACAACAACAATGGACATTAATTTCTTCTATAAAGAGGCACATGCTCTTTAAAAATAGAAATGAAAAGAAAACTTATTCAACTGGTCTACAGTTTTTCTCTCTTAAAGGATAATGCCAACATCAGTTATATCACTGTTGACAAACTCAGGCTTGCCAGTAAGTTGCCCAGCACTTATAAACTTCTGGAATGTTTTTCACTTTATTTGAAACTTCGATTGAGTGACATGAGAAATAGCAGAGTGATAAGAGAAGAGACACACTGTGATTTGTCAGAAAACTCGAAAGTTTTACTTTTTTTTTTTTTCCCCCAAGGAAAAACAGGGAAAATGTCCCAGCCTATTTGCAGTATTTTCGTGATTAGGTGGTATTTGCTGTGAAAGACATACCAAATAGCTAAATAATCTTTTTTTTTCTTATTATTGCTAAGACAAATTATGATTTTAATCCATCCAAAACATCACTATTGCTGTAAAGCTCATACTTAACTATTTATCTTCATCTGCTGATAGCAAGGTTAAAGGACACATATCTTTACATACCTTCTGTCTGTAGGATACAGCTCTACAGTAATGACATCAAGAGAGTTCCAGGCTGAGATGGTGAGGCCGTTATAGAGGCACAACATACCTATCATCATGGATTCACTGGTCCCAAACCACAGAAAGAAACAGCTTATGCCAGAGAGAACCATGGAACCACCTATGTATGAGACGGAAAAAAAAAGAATTTGAAGTGGAACTGTACTTGAAATAATGACTTTTCTTTGCTTTGTCTAACATTTTATTCACAGAATGTAGCAAAATAAATGTCTCATATACTTGAGTTAAATAAAATAAAGAAATATCCTTAAGAAGAGAAAATGTCACTTTGTAAGAAAAGCTTTGGGCTTGGTGATTTTTCCCATTTTAAAGTCAAGTCCATACCTAGCATTGTTAAACGTCCAATTCTATCCATCAGAAGAGCAGAAACAATGTTCCCTGGTAACACTGCCAACGTTCCCAGAAAATTAACAAAATAAATCCAGTAGGCACTGTAGTCATCATCAAAGGAAATCTGGCATCCTGTCCTGATGTGAAAAAATGTGCAATTTATAAAATCACTGTCAACAAATTTATATTGCTCGAGATCTGTGGAAAGAAGAAAAAAAAGTTTTCAGCCAACAGTTGCCTCCATGTTCACCTTTTGATTAAAAACAATGCAAATTTAGACATCCTTAATGACAGCTAGGAGATTTTACTGCTTCGTAAAAGGGCACTAGTTACCATTGTTAATTTTGATAGCCTTTTGTCTTAATAGAAAGATACACAAAGGTCATAAAGAGGTCATCGGAGACCCTGAATTAGGTCAATTATATCAACATAGTTCAATCCTGTTTGGACTACATTTGGTTTGGGCCTTCTTTAAAGGGCTGGCCTTGCATAAAAAGCACAGGATTTCTGCAGGTTTTTATCAGTCATCATTTCCATTGTTCCACAATCTTACTTGGTATCAGACCTATGTTTTTCATACCTTTCAGAGAGAACCTCTCAGATAAAACAGTTGATAATGATTATTTTGAGTTCTCTTAAAAGAAAATGTTCATGCAGATTTCAGATTAAACTTGTTTTCATTCCTGAGAGGACAGTTTGGTTTTCAGCTCCATTCTCGTCTGAAGAAAATGTACTAGAAATGTATCTGACAAAGTGATGCAATTAGTTCTTTGTTTATCAAACTGTTTGACTAGTTGTGAGCTCTGCAATCTCAGCCTAAGCTGAGACTGTTTAAATATTCCTAATTAAAGCACAACTAACCACAGACATTTCTGACTTCCATTTTTTAATAGTTCTGTGTCTAGCTAATTATTTTGAAAGCTATCAGTCAGAACCTGTTAGGATCTGTCAGATGGTCACTACTCTACCATGACACTGGTGATATTCTCATGCATTTCTGAATAAGAATGCAGTTGCATTACTACATGCAGTGGTTCAGGCCATTCTTTTTTAAATAACATTTCAGAGGTCTCTCCTTATGTTTCCTCCTTTATTTCTTCTCTTCTCATCAGCCTTAAAATCCTTATTCAAGAGTACATTTCTTCCAAATGAAAAAAGCTGGGCATTGCTTGTCCTGAAGCCTAGCTCTGTTGCTAATACAAGAGCTACAGAAAAGCATTAAAATTGCTGTCTATCTTTGAACACAAGCTTTCTTGGCAAGATTCTGCTTTTACTTATAATGTACAAAAATTGGGGAAAAAAAAAAACAAAACACACACAAAAAACCCACAACAACAACAAAAAAAAACACGCAAGTCCTAGAATGTTTAGTAGATTGGAAATGATGAGATAGTATGAATCCTGAACTTGCTCTCCCATGCTACAGCAGGCACAATATACTTTCATGTCTTCTAGGCCAGAATAAAATACCTGATTAAAGCAATCTGTTTCTTCTCTTCAGATTGGATATCTTTAGGAATCTTGAATATCTTTAGGAATGTTGAAAATCAAAGAAAGGTTTATTATCTGAGTCCATATTATGCCTGCAGTATTTCAGATGGAGGTGTGATCCTTTCTCTTCTGATACTATTTACTATTTCTACTATTACTCTATTTAGTGAAGCCTGTTGATTTTACAGCTTTGTATTCCCTACAGGAAGGCTTCCTGTATGCATCATCAGAAATTCAGAATTTATAATCACATCATAAAAATTAAATGAGAATATGCAGATGAAGAGTGCAGGTTTTTCATGTAATACCTGTGTTGTAGAAGGTGGTATTCACAAAAGTGCAGTTCCTGAAGTATGTATTCAGGGAAGTTATGTCTTCAAACACACAGTTCTTAAAAAGTGAATCTTCAAAGGTTACTGATTTAAACTTCATCATGACAAACCTGTCCAGCACAAATAATTTGTATCAGATTCCTTTCACAGATTAGAAACAGCAACAGGTCCACTTGAGGCAGTTACACAGATTTAACAGGCATCCTTCTAAGAAATCACACCTCCAGAAACAATGATTACTTAATGAGACTCAGGAGATGTAATAAATGATTAGCTGACTCTGGAATACTCTCTTTCAGAAAAAGGACTAATAAAGTACATAGCTGCACATAGCTGCTGGCCATAACAAGTGAAAGTATTTCCATGAGAATAGTTCAATTATGTCATGACATTCGTGCAACAGTCTTGTAAAATGAACAGTACTTGCAATTTAATATTACAGTCATAAATTGGGATCTCAAACACCAGAAACCCAGCCTCTTGGAACAAACAAGCACCTGTTGTTACCAAAGAGCTGGAAAGAAAGAATTTTTGAAAGAACCTCTACTTCTCCAGAAAAATACACTGAGCACTGTGTGAGGCTCAAGTCCAGAATGTACCCATTCAAGATTTAAAAAATGGTTTAGACTGGTTTACCATTATCACAACAATTATGCTGGCATTTTATACAACTAGATATCTAGCTGAAAGGATGGGTTTCCTAGCTCTGTCTGTGAATGTAACTGCAATTATTTTCTGCATAAGACATGAACAAATGTATTGTCAGCAGCTTTTTCTATTTCTGAACATCCTTGTTCCTTCTGACCTTTATTTAACTCTTTGGTTTTCGATCATGACTATCAATCAAGTTATCAATAGATGAAGTTAAGGGCAAATAATTTTACTAGTAGTTGCTTCCTAACTAAACTTTACTAGGCTTAAAACAATACGTAAATCTTTTCCATTGTACTCTTAATACTAATATCACTGTAACAAAATTTAAAAAAAAGACAGCTGTAGTAATATAGCAGCATTTTTCCAATATACTTCATTTTACATAGAGGTCTGGAAAAAGATGCGATTAAAGATGTACAGTTTTGCTGGCAGACTTCATTCAAAGTGGCAGCACTTCAAAAAACAATCTTTAACTGTTACGTAAGAACTGTTAAAATAGCAAACCCTTCCAAACATAGATCTGATTCTGTTCTAATTAAACCTGATGTGATCAGCTAATATTTGTCTTACTGTTAGTCTGATGGTAGGAACAGCAGTACACAAAATATGTTACATTTTAAACTGTAGGAATTATACCCTCAGCAGTGATGTTTTTGGAATTACACATTGACAAGAATGTATAGCAAGAACTAATTATGATTATCATAGAAGAATTACTAGCTAATGATTCTCTTTCTGTATTGGTCAGAAAAGCAGGTGTTCTCAGCCCATTAGTTTTACTTTATCATTTCTCATTTCCGACACTGGTTATAATCAGGCTGGCGTTCAGTATCAACTCATTAGCATTTTATATATAACACTCTCCATTTAAAAAATTAATATCAGAGGAGAACAAAGAGCACTTAGATGTAATAGGAAGGACAGACTGCATGTCCTACAAGCTCCTAATGCACGTATCAAGTTTTGACAGGAAATATGTTGTGACTACATTAAAAATGGAATCACAGTGATCTGAATTCAAACCAAACAGAAATGTAATGAAGTAAAAAGTGAAGTATTACAGTATCTTCCAGCTGAAGGAAACACTGAAATTAAGAGTGACAGGAATACAGAAACATTTGTGGATAAAGACTATCAAAAGAGTTCACCTTACTGCTCAAAATAGCTTGTGAATCTCAAATAGCTGTCCGATGCCTGTTGAATTTGCATACTTGCAAGTGCTTTTGAGTGGATTAGTACTGGACTTAATGTTTTACAGTAATTTTTAGTTCAGATTAATAAGATCTTGGTTGACAGAGTACAAAACATCTAAAACTTACTGACTGTAAGTGGTTCTTTGCTGTTAGGAGAACAGATGTCTCTTGGAAAGGAACTGGGATATAATTGTTGGTTTAAAAATGAGATAACTGGTCATTTTTGTCTGCAATGCATAAGTTGTGTCAAAACTTGAATTCTTATCAAAGAAAAAGAAAAGCCCTCAATTAATAAAATCATTATTTTTATTTTTTATATATATCTTTTCATATGGAAATAATAATTGCTTATCTCCATGTTATCCAGGAGACCAATCAAAGGTGGTTTTCTTTATCTCTTAAGAGAAACCAGACACTTAAAACAGCTGTGTTTAACTGTCTTCTAAGTTACCTAGTATCCATAAAAGTCTAGTTAGAGCCTTAATAAGTATACATTCAGTTTAAAAGAAAAAAAGACATTGCCAAAGTGTTGTCCTCCCATTTTAGAGCTGCTTTGGACTAGTAATTAATTTCTGTTTTCCTGTGCTAAGATCTTATCCTCTCAATGTTTCATATTTTCAAAGAAGCATCTTAAATCAATACAAATAAAAAATAGCAACGTTAATGAAAGTACATCCTTCCTCTTCTTCCTGCAATGTTGTGACACATGCTGGGTCTGAAAACCTTTGAATCCCACTGTGAAAAGAAAGACTGTTAATGTGAGCTTTCCGGTCCTCTTTTCAGTCTGTTTTCAGGAGGGCAGGGGGCAATGTTGGCATAAGGGATCCAATACTAAAGTCAGCAAGGTGTACACAGGAGCACTTCTCATATACCAACATACTATTCAAAACTGAATTATGGTAAACTGTATGAGATTGAGAATAGAGACATTAAAAAACAAACAAACAAACAACAAAAAACTAACAAAACTATCAACTACCAGTTGATAGGGGAAAATGTTACATTAATTGGACTTCCCAGAATACATGCATTTGTTTATCATTAAGACAACTATACACCTGTCATTGATGTATTCTCCGCTGCTATGAATTTGATTTTCCAGTGTAAAGTTGAAGACAAAATTTGAAACCTCCTCGTTGCGGAAAAGTTTCACTCGGGATGCATACTCATCTGATTGAAGGTGTTTAATGACATCAGGAAACCAGACAGATAAGCCATTGTAGCTGTGAAATAGAGAAAATGCTGTTAACGTCCTGGGGTCTGATCCAGCGGGACCACAGTAGGGCTGTGCTGCCAGAGCTCTGATCTGCCATGGTCCACACATCTTGGCTTTTCTCTGTTACCATCCCTACCCCTCTACCTGTTTCTGTCCCAAAGGGTGATGTTACTACTTGTCCTGCTTCTTGCTGGGCAGATGAGAAAGGCTCAGACAACAGGCCCTGTCCTGACACAGCCTGGGAAGTCCTATCGGCATCCAGACATGAAGAATAAAGCTCTTCATAAACTGCAGACCGTGGGAGCTGCAAAGATTAATCTTTTTCTAGTGTTTGTTTTAAATTTTGCCTTTAGACACAAACAGGCAGTCTAAGAGATTCTAAATGGTGTGTAAATTAAGCCTAACCTGAAGACTCACTGAAAAATAACTTGAAGAATATGAGCTTACTTTCAAGTTATGGCACAATGTTCATATTTCTAAAATGTTGAGACAATCACAGTTCTTCTGTGCTTGTCAATTGCCTGTATAAAAATACTGAAAGATTTCAATATCAGAAGACGCCAGTGTTCTAAGATAGACATCCTCTGAGTCAGGTATAGACCAAGAATAGACTATACAATAATATTTTTTATAAAGTTACTGAATAAGGACTTTAAAAAAAAATAAAAATCCGAATGACAGAGATTTGCATGCAGATGATTCTTTTGTCAAGTCCATAAACAACGATTCAGGATCTCAACTGCTCTTACCCAAAAGACAGGGTGAACCACACAATTGTGAGCTTGACTGTATTGTCCTTTACCGGGTAGTTGAAGCATCTCATGAAAGTCAACCAAATCTGGAAAGCAGTAGGAAATACACTCATTTTAAATTGTATTTTGTGTAATTCTGTTAAATGGTACAAGCTTCTTTATTCTGATTTGCTTGCTCCCTCAGGGAATCAGAGAGAGTGGGTGATCTTGTTGACACAGAACTGGTAGCTGTATTTCTGTTACAAGTCTGTCTTCTGGCTTTCACCAGGTGATGTACATTCTGTCCTCTGGCTTTCACCAGGTGATGTACATTCTATGCCTTTCTTGTTTCTTTTCACTTTGTCCATTAATTCAGTTGCTCTCTGACTACATAGAACTGTGTTATCCTTTATGCTGCTTCATTCACTATCTCAAATAAGTATGTCTCAGGAGCATTTCCTTCTCACCTGTGAAAAACTTTCTTTTAACATTTTCAATGATGTGGACTGCTTTTTCTGGTTTGTTTTTTTTTTTTTGCTTGTTTTTGTTTTTTAAATTAATGAGTATTCACTCAACTTTCATTTCAAGGTTTGACAATACTGCATAATTTTGACTTTACAAAAAAAAATTGGAGCAGGATCTCAATGCGTACGTATTAATCTTTTTAAATTATCTCTAACGTAGTTTTCTTGTAAAATATCTGACCTATTAAAAATATATGCATATTCAATTGCTTATAAGGCTTTACTGACATCCATTTACACAAGTTATTCATGACTTTACCATTTGTAGGTGAAGACTTTCATCACGTATCACCTCTTCACATGTATAGATATTAATAATATGTTCAGTACAAATTATATTGTGGACATTGAACAAATGACAGCAATCACTTCTGTAAAGGCCAATGAAACATTTTTCTCCTCTGAAGTTACAGTGAACACCTGTGATTCATCTATGCCTTTTCTGGCCCAGGAAACTAGAATCTTATACTGGTTACTGACTTTTCTAGTTGCATGAAAAATGCAGGATTGCAGTTATTGCAAGCATTACTTCAAAAGAACTTATTTCATTTCTGAATGCTAATTATAAAAGATAATTGCATAGCAAATAGAGATGTTGTTACTTACACCATATAGCTCTGTGCGAATTCTAACAAAACACCTCCTGTACCAAGTTCCTGTATCACTCTCTATTTCTATGAGCTCATCTATCTGCTTCGGAGTTTTAATTCGGTTAACCTAGAAATAGAAACAGAACAGCAAATATTTGCATTTTCTTGAAGCACTGAATTGAATATCAACGAATATTAGAAGGTTTTAATAAATCCCATAAACCAAAAATGAACAGATATTAAACCAGTGCTTAGATTAGGAATGTTTTGGAAATACGAAAGAACAAGGCCACTTTAATAACAGTGGTCATTATGAAGGGTATTGGAAAAGCTCTACTTTCAAACCATGCAGGAAATCCTTTTCCTTTGATTGAAACAAGATGTTACTGTGGGGTTTTGCTCAAGTTTTGCTGTGCATACCTCTAATGCCATGAAGGATAAAATGTTATTTAAACCTTCAGCTAAGCATGCTCAGAGTTTGATATTTTTTTCTGACTTGCCATTAACACATCACTGAAGGTCTATTGATTAACTATACAGTAATGATACAGAAGCATTTGAAATATCAAGAATTAATACTTGAATGGCATTTTTCTTTTGTTCTTATTTCCTGTAGTAGCAGACAGAGAACTCTCTGTGTTTCAGATGCGCGCTTTAATTACCCTTTTTTAAGGAGGAGAGAAAGAATTAGGTGAAATGGGCTGGAACCGTGCATGTTATTGCTGTTATGAGCAATTATCTTCTGCATCTAAATTGAAATAAGATGAACAAACATAAAGGAAAAATACAGAAATACCAGTGACAGAGAATGTAATGCTGCTTACAATGCTGATTTTATCTTGCATAATGAAGTGTAGGAAAATAAAAATTTTTAATATGGTCTTATCTATTTCTTGACCTAATGAATATACTATAGAATAGTTTAATCTGTCATTCCAATAATAGCAAAACACAGCTTATTCATACACAGTTCATTTAAAATAAAGATGAATAGAAAGCATAGAAAGAAAATAAGTAGAATGGGGAAAGTGACAGATATATGAGAAAGGAAAGACCAACAGACAGGGTATTCAATTTTCGGCTGCTGTTTCTGGCAGCCAAAATAGATCCTATTTCTTAACAAAATGAGGACACCACCCGCAGATGTATCAGAGTGGACTACAGGGAATCACAGAGTTGTTGTATTAATGGTAAGTTTCTAGTTTTCAGCCTACTGCTTTTTCAGATGTATTATGTTTAAGAAGGACCAGCAGCCTCATCCCATTAACGGAAACAAAACAAAGCTCACTAAGTGGTGTTACCTATAACCAGCCTAATTTCTGAAATAAAAAATCTCACTGTCTTGCTAAACTATTATATCCAAAATCTGAAACCTTCTCATCATGCCTTTTCCAACAGCAATAATTCTGTCTCTATCATTTATTTGATTTTAGATTTTTTAGAGTTTTTATGAAATATTCTGTGCAAAAGACTTGGTCTAGATTTAGAGTTGAGTCCTCTAATATTATCAAAAACCTTGTACCATAAAAACTTCCTCAAACATTTTCATGCTACATCTCTGAGTGAAAAGAGCATTTTGAATAATACTCTTGGAGTTAGCATACTTCATGAGCAAGCAGCTGAGATGCAGCCTTTTCAGTGTGCAGGCCACCTGATTTGTTTGGAGCAGTGAAGGCTGGGGGGATTATACATGTCCAAGACCACTACGTGTGACTAGGAAAAAAAAGCTTATGGCTTTGATGGTCCTTGAACATACAAAAAAGCTCCTATAGAATCCGAACAATGGTCCATCTGGACCATGCAAATTTAGCTGTCATTATGTGAGGGATGAAGAATTGAGGGGGGCAGGGGGAGGTGAGGGAGGGAAGGGAGGGTGTGAATACCTATTTAAATGAAAAGAGAACCTCTGTTCAATAGCAATGTGCAGAAATACATAATGTTTAAAAGTCTACAGAATTTTCCTGAGAAGGAAAATATTAATAGGAAAATGAAAAGATTTTTTAAACAGAGCAGTGAAAGAGTGGAGAGAATTTTGGTTTCTGAGGTAGAACGATTTTTATTTATTTGCTTGTTTGTTTGTTTTTACTTTAGCCTTTAAACCAATTATCTAAGTAATGCATATTTTATGAACCCAGGGAGGAATTTAAGCATCTGTATGAATCCTTAACAACTTATTTGAACTCTGTTTCATCTCAGAATACATTTTTGAAAGTATTTTGAGCTATTTCCACAAGTTCCACATTTTTTAACTAGATTACATCTAATTTGGAATTTCTGACTCTTAAACCAATTGCTCATCAATTGATGCATTTCTGTTCTAAAGGTTTGAAGGCAGATTCTGCAGTAGAATAAGTAACAAGAATAAACAAGACCTGTGGGGGAAAAAAAAAAAAAAAAAAAGCATCTCAAAAATGATGACATTAATTTGATTCAGGAAAACGAGTAAAAAAAAAAAGCACCCTAAAATTATAGAAATATTAAAGTTACACCAGCTGTTAGAGTAGAAAACACACCATCAAAGTTTATCTGCTTGGTGTAACTGTTGTCAGAAAGCAGAGGAAAAGGCCAACACTTAAGTTATACAATGATATTGACCTAAACCAGATGAAACTATGGAGCTCAGGAAAGCTAGGAGAATGACTTTTCAACACAAAATGTCACAGTGGCCAGTTCTTATTTAAACCAAGGAGAGACAGAGAAAGAGAGATAGACTCAAAGGATGTCTGGAATTCTTTGCACTGTGGGCTTAATACAATAAATTGCTAACAATTGTCCAATGAGGAGACGCATTTTCTAGTCATACTGCCACAAGCCTAGGTTTGGGGGTGTAGAGACTTCTGTCAGTGTGTATCCCTGGCATGCAATGTACTGTTTCTAATCAGCTCCTTGTTACTGTGTTTTCTCAATGGTCTAGGCAGAAACTGGCAAAAATCCCAAATAGTGATGTGATACTACAGCTGATCACTTCTCGTAATTTTTTGCCTCAGCACATTTCTGTCTTCTTCCCTGTGCCTAACCTAATAATCTGAGTGGTGGGTAGGACTTAAGCTATGACTGACAGGCTCTGCAATGGATCAGTGAATAGCCATGCTGGCAGAAGAAACTGAAAAGGTGACTTGAGAGTAAGAATACCTTCAAAAGCAGCTCAAGTTAGCATGAGTAAAATGTGAAATTACACCCCAAGTGTATAATGTGAATAAAGACAAAAAAAAAAAAAAAAAATAAGGCTAGGTTGGAGAGTATTAGGGCTAGGTCACTGGTGTACCAGTAAATGCAGCTGTAACATGACAGATATGCTAAACAACCTTCCTTCAAGCTGAATTCTTGAGTTTCCTTCTGGAAAAAAAGTTAAATGTAGGCTATAGAGACTATATCCAAGACAATAAGTTGCAAGTGGTGGAGAAAAATTATATGGTCAGATGGTCATTCCTAAGGCTGCCTGCAAATGCAGAACCTACAAGAGGGTTTCTTAATTGAGTTATATGTGCATTAATGTAAGAAGAAAGCCCTGGAAGAGGAATAAAATTTTACACATGGCTATGAGGGGGAACAGAGCACCAGCACTCCCATGGTACAATACAAGCTGGTAAAGGAGGCTGGTTTTCAATGTAAAAAAATGCTTTCTGCTGTTTAATCCTACTCTATTTGGGGAAAGTGTTTTTGGAGTATTTTGAGCAGTATTTTGAGTATGGCTTTATCATGAGATCTGCAAATAAAATATGTATCTTGCAAGATATTTTGAGAAAATTAAATATCTTCAAAAACAATTTCTCAAAATAATGAATATGAATTTAAAAATATATTATTTTAGCTGGTAAAAATGAAAAAAAAAATCAAACTCTCAGAAAAAAAAATATCAGCTGATTTAGGCTTTCACATATTTCTATTGTTATTATTAAACATAATAGAAATTACAACTGGAGTCCATTTATTATCCCCAAGAACATGCTGGCCAAAGGCTAAGATCTTAAAATCTGCTGAATGTATAACGATTTCATAGGAACTCAATTCCTATACTTAGATATTTACAGTGCAAATTATTTGCTTTGCCATGCAGAGTAATAATATTGATTGCTTAAGTACTCAAGATCTCAACAGTCAGCAAGCTGGTTGATGAACCAGCTGGGTGGTGAATATTAAGTGTAATAATACTCACTGTGAAGACTTTCTCAGGCTGACCACGAGCTCGCATGTTTGTGTCATGAATTTGCTTGAGTATCATCCAAGCTTCATCGTGTTTTCCAATCTAAACATTGGATGAAAGCATAGCCACTGAACAATCTTATTGCCTGTTAGACAAACGTTACTGTGTAAACAGAACCAGAGAATCAGAGAATCACAGAACAGCATGGCCTGGAAAAGATCTCCAGAGATCATTTGGTAAAACCACCTGCTAAAGCAGGTTCCCTATAGTAGGTTGAGCAGGAAAACGTCCAGGTGGGTTTTGAGTATCTCCAGAGAAGGAGACTCCACAACCTCTCTGGGCAGCCTGTTCTAGTGCTCTGTCACCTTCAAAGAAACTTTTCTTGTATTCAGAGGAAATTCCTGTTCTCCAGTTTGTGCCTGTTGTACCTTGTCCAGTTACTGGAGACTGCTGAAAGCAGTATAGCCCCATCCACTTGATACCCATCCTTCAGACATACCTAAGCATTGATAAGATCCCCTCTCAGTCTCCTCCAGGCTGAACAATCCCAGCTCTCTCAGCCTCTCCAACGAAGGGAGATGCCTCAGACTACTCATCATCTTTGTGGCCATCAACTGGATTCTGTCCAATAGTTCCCAATCTTTCTTGAGAATTGAAAACAGCTCTCCAGATGTGACCTCACCAGGGCAGCATAGAAAGGCAGGATCACTTGCCTTGACCTTTTGGTCACCGTGTTTTAATGCATCCCAAGATACCAGGATACCACTGGTCTTCTTGGACACAAAGACACAGTGCACCCAGTTCCTTCTCTGCAGAGCTCCTTTCCAGCAGATCAGCACCTAACCTGTACTGATGCATGCGGTTATTCCTCCCCAGGTACAGAACTCTACATTTGCCATTGTTGAACCTTAAAAGGTTCCTCTTCACTCAACTCTCTAGCCTGCCCAGTTCTCCTTGAATGGCAGCACAGCATTCTGGTGTGTCAGGCATTCCTCCAAGCTTTGCATCATCAGCAAATCTGCGGTGGCTGTGCTCTGCCCTTTCATCCATGCCACTGATGAAGATTTTACATAAGACCAGAGCAAGTACCAAGTCCTGGGGAACACTGCTAGCTACACACCTCCAACTAGAGCATGTTCCACTGATCTCAATCCTCTGAGCTCTGCCAGTCAAGCAGTTCTCAGTCCACTATCCACTCACCTATCTCACACTTTCTAAGGTTATGTACAAAGATATTATGGGAGGCAGTGTTAAAAGCCATGCTGAAGTGAAAGTGCAGAACATCCACTGCTCTCCTTGAAGGGAGAAGCACTCATAACTTCATAATAAGCTATCCAATTGGTCAAGCATGATTTTCCCTTGCTGAATCCATGCTGGCTACTCCTGATAACATTCTTTTTTTCCACTTACTTGGAGATGATGCCCAGAATAAGTTGCTCTAATACTTTCCAGGAACAGATGTGAGGCTAACTGGCCTGTAACATTCCAGCTCCTCCTTCTTGTCCTTTCTGAAGACTGGAGTGACACCTGCATTCCACTGGTCTTCAAGAACCTCTGCCATTCTCCATAGATGCTGGACAGTGGTTTGGTAAACAGTTCACACAGCACTCATGGTTACATAGTTAGATTCCATTGAGGCCCATGGATTTGTGTGCATTGCGTCTGCCTAGATAACCTCTACCCAAATTCTCCTAGGCTGAGGGGAATTCTTCCTTTTCTCAGACTCACTCTTATCTCCAGAGTACTGGAATTCCTGCTAGGTAGCCTTACCAGTAAAGACTGAAGCGAAGAAGGCTTTCAAGTAACTGCCTTTTCAGTGTCCTCTATTACCAAGGCACTTTATTCAGCCCATGTTTTCCTTTTGCTACTGATATAATTAAATATGGGTTTTTTTTGTTTTGTTTTGTTTTTTTTTGTTATCTGTGATGTCTCTTTCCAAGTGTAAACACAGAAATAGTTTTGACTGAAACCCAAAAAACAAGTTGAAAGTTATACCTCCAGCAAGAACCGTGGACTTTCTGGCATAAAGGTGAGGGCTACCACAGAAGAGACACAGGGCAATGCACAGACGATCACAAATACTCTCCAACTGTGAAACTGATAAGCAGATCCCATGCTGAAACTCCATCCTAAGAAAGAAGAAATTCACAAATTTTCACAAGTATAAATGATTTCACAAGTAATGTTACACTTTGAATTTCAATCTTATGCATGTCAACATGGAAGACATCCGTACTATACAGAATGAGGATGAGGAAGTCTATCTCATGTTTTCTGGCAAAATCTGTATGAAAGTAGTCACAGTAACGGAGTAAAATGTCCTCCACATCTAAATTGGATGTACAGGAAAAAAAAAATAAATTAGTGTTTAAACTTCTATCTGACATCAACAAACTTAACTCTGCAGAAGAGAAATTGTAATCATGTTAAGATCTTAAGCAAAAAAAGATGACACAAGAAAACATCTCATCTGAGAAATAGATCTTGAAATATACGTGAGTATGGACTCCTAAGAAGACAGCAAAAAGAAGTACTAGAAAAAACTCATGTGAAACTTCAGAGTCATTAGTTCAGCTTTTTAATAAAACATCTAATTGCATGAATTGGACTACTGATATGATAGAATTTTTAGAAATAAAAAAATTATTAAGAAAGACAAAAACATGATTTAGGTAATTACCTTCAGTCTGACTTCAACACTGTAGAATATTTTAGGCAAAATATTGAAGGAAAGCATATTAAAAGTAGAGTGAGAGATAAGAATAACAACAGTGATTGAAGTGATTACCAGAAGAAAATGGAATACTGGCTAACGAAAGTCCTAATGCTGGATTTATCTGATATACTTTGCTAACTGATTCCTTCTGGACGAAGTACACAGTAAACTAAATCTGACTGGATATCAGTAAACAACTGGTACAGCATAGTGCCAAATGTCTTATTAAATAATTCTTTAAATGAAGTGTTAATCTGCAATGAATACAGTATATTTTGAAATTTAAAAATCTCGTGTTCTGCGTCATAAATTAATTCTTAGGAAAAGATCAGTTTTCTAATTAAAATACTTGCACCCATGATGTATCTTTGCCCTTTATCAATAGCTCTATGAAACTGAGCTGTCGAACTGGGAACCTGTTTTTTCTTATTCATTACAAATTTTCTGAGTTTCAGAAGATTTATCAGATTTATTTACACCCTTATTTAGTTTCAGAAGACAGAAGTGAAATCAGCAACAATATTGGTGATGATCATTGACTGCCATTTTACTTTTTTTATAAGGAAGGTTCCAGATAGATATACTTTCCTTCTCCAAAGTTCCATCCAACAAAAAGAAGATACCTAAGATGTCAACCTACATTTGATGATAAATTTCATTCAAAAATAGAAAGTCAAATGAAAAAAATCAAGATTAAAACCAAAACAAAACCAGAAAGTAAAGAAAAAAATAAAGGGAGGTTTAGGGTGAGTTGATAAGGCAATTAGGAATCATGCTGGGGTATGTATTTTGTACACATTCTATTATAATCATTCAAATGATGTTCATTATATATGTTAAGCTACAAAACAAAACCCTCTGGTATACCAGTTGGGCAGCAGTGCACCTTCTAGAAAGGAGACAACAGAAGCAAGGCTTTCCTCTCTTAGAACAACACAGTCAAAGTGCCGTCTCTGGTCATTTAAACCACTCCACCATACTCACAGACAGTACTATATTTACCCTGTCTGCTTTTTACCAGTCTGGTTTATACTGTGAGAGATTTAGCTTCCTAAATAGTATTTCTGTGTAAGAAATTTTTATGCTAGTTTTGTACATGTTGTAAAACAACAGCAGTATCTCTGTAGCCAGTCCTCAAAATTGACAGTAATAACTTACTTCAAGGTGTTTTTTATTGAGGTAAGTGAGCTATATTGCTAATTAATTAATTTAAAATTTAAAAAGCCACATTAATTAAAAACAATGACTGCACTGTGTTTGCTGCTGTCATCTTCACCATTTGCAAGACATATTTTTACTCGTCAGAATGTCTGAGAGCTTGTTAAGTGAAATGTTCATCATAGTTTCTATTGCTCTTATTACATCTTTTTCTCCTTGTATTGGATGCTGCAGTTAATCCCATGATTTATTGTGTCTGCAGAATTAATGATAATAGTGAATATGAGAATTAGAAGAATTGGTAGAAAAAGCGTTGCAACACATCTATCTTGAGCCTGTCCTCCTACTTATTCCTTCACCACCCGGTAAAAGAGCAGAACAAACATGTACCTTAAATGCAAAGCAAGTGCAGATTTATTCTTACGTTGACCATCCCATTATCTGGTTTCATGAGCTGATATGGAAAATGAAGCCATTAGAATAATTTTGAATTCAGCTCTCAAAGTGGCTCTCATAACCACTGTCTATGAGTCTTGAAATAAAAAGGAGCTTGGCTGTAACTCAGTTTGCCTTCCCCTTCCCTGAATCGAGATACAATAGCAAAGATGGAGAAGCTCTACTCAGCAGCATTCAGAGCTCTGTGCAGCAGCCCAGAGCTCAGCTCCACCTTTGCTCCCTGGCTATGCTGTGTTTCAAGGCCATTAATCTTGAAAACAGTGCCAAGCTCCAATATTTTATGAATTGCTGAAACCCTTGCCCCAAATGCATCTTGGGAAAAGTTTACTGTAGAGCAGTGTAAAATCTGCAGTGATGAAATATGAAGCCAGTGCACCAGCCTTCTTGCTGAATATTGTGTTCTCACTGTACTGATTACTGAAAGGGATCAAGTGAATCACAGACATGGCAATTACTGATTACAGAGCCACAGCAGAATGCAGCAGAGCAAAAGCAAAATGTAAGCAAAAGGCTGCTATCAATTACAGTCACGGGCTTATGTATGAAGTTGAATGTCAACAAAACCTTTACCCTAACGGTATTTCATCTGTTTTGTAATATTAATAAGTTAAAATGATATTGTAAATCAGTTCTTGTTCCAAAAGAAAGAAATGTCATAGATTTTCTGAATAAGCATAGAAATAAACTTGTCCATATTATGCTGATTTTTTTCAATTTACATTGCTAGTAATGTCTTCTAGATCATGTGTATTTTTTTTACAGTGGTTAGGTGATGACATACTGTACCTAATGAGAGCTGATCAGTGGACATAGTCTACTTAACTTTCCAAAATGAGGGCTGAATGGGAACTTGATAACTCAGCAAGTCATTTAAGGTTTTAAAGTGCAATGTGAGCAATAGGGGAAAAAAAAAAAGTGCTTACAGACTGTATAAATACTGTCCAGCAATGAAGTTTTGAAATTCCAAAGGAACAAAGTTGTAAAGAACCTTTCAAAAACCTAAATGAATATAGGGATTTTATTGCTTGTTTCTGTTTTAAAACACACTTATTCACCACAACCAGATCATATAGGCTCAGTTTTAATATTTTTAAGGTGGAAACACTTTCAGTAAGTGTGTGATTGACCTGAAGTGCCACTTGGCGGCACTGTTACCGCACATAATACAATAATCAATTAAAAATGCACAAATGCTTTTTGTTTGTTTGTTTGTTTGTTCACTGGGCATTTCCTGTTTGTTCTCTGAGCAACGTCGAAGCTAAACCAACCTTACAAAAATGACTAGAATTTCGACATCTTGCAGAACCAAAATACCACTGAACTTAAATTTAGTCTGCCCTGAAATTGCTAAACTTAGCTGTGAGTGACATCCAGAACTTGAACCCAAATATTTTAGTGCTGCTGATTGGAATAACGGTAAAACACCGCTGAAACTGAAAAACAAGAGAGTTCATCTAAATAACATAACTGAGAAATATTCTCGATACTTTCAAGAGCCTGAGTGAAATATACTGTCTCTAACAAAAGCAAAATAATGTTTCATAATTATTCTTTAACTATATTGATGTGAAATTCCAGCAGCACAAAGAAGAACTTATGTCCTTCATGTGATTAGATTATTAATATCGCACGGGGAAATGCAGTGATATTTTTAGCCTCGATTGATAGGTATTCTTTAACCCCATTGACCCAGCAGGTAATTTTTGCAGAATAATTCAGGAAATAAAATAACCTAAGTGTGTCAGGCCATGATTGGGTTACCTTGACAGAGCTGCATCTAAAAGACTCTAATTCTCATTCACATCTGTCTGTCTCTCAAGCTAATGCTATTAATCCCTTACAGACATAAGGATCAACAGTTCACTGAAAGAAGAAAGTAATGTTGCTAAACGGATGTATTTCACCGTGTATTAAACCCAGACTTTGTCTGCTTACAATTGAAACCGTGATTAAAAGGAACAAAGCATTTTTTAATTACACATTCCTTCTCCCGCTGAGCAGGCAGTTGTCAGCTCCTAACACTCAGCATTTGCCAGCACTAACATCTGCAGACCTGAGATTATCAGGCCTCCAATCTTTTTGGCTAAAATATCTACCATTTAAATAAGCACTAGGTCAGCAGCAAGCAGTGCTGACCACACCTAGAAAATCACCTGCTGTCTAATAACATCAGAAACAAATTCTCTATCCAGTATATGGTGCTGTAGGCCTCAAGCTTCAGTACTTCTAAATAGTGACATCAGTAACTTGATTTTTAAATGATTTTAATACCTGCTCTAGTGCTGCTTAGTCTATTACTTTTCTCTGAGGAGAATGTTAGTGTATACTTCATACAAAAATGAGATACTTGCCTAAAGTTCATTAAAGTTTAGACAAGATATGTCAGCCTTTCACTTGAAACCATATAAATAGTCTGTGCAGAATCTAGAGCTTGATAAAAATCCCATAAAAAGTAGATTTTATTTGAATACCCAACAACGTTGGGATGGGGCCAGGTGGGTGGGAAGAGAAAAAAGTGTGCAAGTGTGGAGTGCAATAATCCCTTGACCCAGGTGGATCAAGGTGCTGTGACTCACAAGAGCAAATAAAGGTACGAAACTCATCTCTGAAATGGCAGAGATTGCAGGACATGATACTACAGTGTTAAGTAACAACTCCTATTAAGGGAAATGCAGAGAATATCCCTTTTATTATATAGAATTATTTCTTATATCCCTTATTTAGGAAAAAGAGCTTGAAAGTAATGGAAGTTAATATAGATTGACACTAAGTTGAACTTTGCCCGCTGTTCAGATGCAA